GGGTTGAGGAGCATCACTGGAGAAAAGCAAAAGGGTTGTTTGGGGAGGGAAGGTGTTTAGAATTTCTACCAAAAAAGAACAATTTATGACAAAGCAAAGATTGGAATTGTGTGGAACATTTGGGGAAAGAATGGATTTGGGTAGAGAGGATGGACCACAGATTGCTTTGAGGAGATGGATGTCAGACATGAGTTATATAGGTAGGTGGGGTTGGAATTTTTACTGAATTATAGTTTTTTTGTTCCTTTTTACAATATTCAAAATATGTGCTTATTTTTCACATATTGCTTAAACTCTATGAAAATTTCACTTTCTTGTCTATTATAGCATTTTATTTTACCTTTTACAAATTATCTCTTACTCATTTGATATAACTGGATTCAGTGTAGCAACATTTTATTCAGAGCTGCTTCTGTTTTCCCTGTACTGATAACAGCACCATGCATTAGCAAGTCTTTGTTAGTCATTATGAGTAACTTTATTTTCCTTTGCCTTGTGTCCGTGTGGTGGGTTTCTTGTATTTTACATTCTTAACAGTGTTTAACATCTTCGATATTTATTCCATGTCCTTTTTTTTTAATCCCCATTCTACTACTTGGGGTGAGGCCTTCATCATCTCTTGACCTATGCGCATATTCAGAGTATTTCGTTACTCCCTTCCTACTGGCTGGCAACTCCTTTTCATACTTGGATACCTGGAAGAATCTGTTCTTCTAATTCACAAGTAGTTGATTACTAGTTTTTTGAGATTCCAGTTGTACCTAGCATGTGTGTCTATTTTTGCTTTTATAGTATTGTTTTGTTTGCATATCTGTCTTTAAATGAACTGGGAGTGCCTTGAGGGGAAGGATTATTAATTTGCATTTGTGTGAGCTTGAGTATCTATAATATAAGCATTCATACAATAGAATGAAGTTGTTCTGTTAACAACTTCAAAATACTCTTTGAAAAATCATCGCATGTAATAACTGAAGAATAGTTTGTTGTACACAGCTTGTGATGATTTAATTTACTGAGCGGCAAGTAATATGTTGGCTGGTTCAAGCCATATGAGCATCATAACAAGAGTGGTCCTGTTCATAAATCAGTCAGTAGAAAATCAGTTGTGTCAATTCCCATGTATTTTTCTATCAGTGACATTTTGCATTTAATTATGCAAAAAATACACATTCTACTTTTTAATCAATAAAACATGGAAAACCAAAAGAATATATTCTCAAAATATTGAGGGCAGGCTCAAATCTTACCTGAATCATTATTTTTTGAGTTATAACTTCTAAAGTTTAGAAATCTGAATCTGAAATCTGTCAGGTCCCCAAACTTATAGGTAGCCACTATTATACTGTAATAGGTATTCAGTGATTGAAATGACAAGGCACTGTGTGAGATATGGCAAGGAGTGTAAAGGGTCTTGTTTTTAACAGTTTTTGAGTGAGTGATTAAGTAATTTCTAGATAAGTGACATTAACTTCCATACCTGATATATTTTGTTTCCTTTTGCTGGGAACTTCCATAACTCCAGTCCTACTACTATCATGTGTACCTCTCATCTTCTACTTTCCTTTTCTTAAGACCTGACCTAGTTGTTTTTTCTAATCTGTTATGGGCCAAGAAACCATTTATGTGAGAGTCCAAATTTTTATTTTATTTTGTGATAAATATAAATCAGAAATATTTTTCATTTATTTTCCAGGTTCAAGGGTGCATTCTAAAGGTTTGAGTTGCTATTGTTCTATCCTACTGAACAATTTAAAATTTTTTTTAATTTTTATTCTATAATAAATCTTAGATCAAAATTTTGAGGAGTCTTTGTTAATAATAATAAAACAATTAGAGATGAACTGACTTCCAAATGTGTATATAAAGTTTTATAGCTGTAACTCACACCCAATTTTACCTGAGGAGATGACACTTAAGCCAAGATCAAAAATGATAGGCAGTAGTTAACCAATGAAAACAAGTGGAAAGAGAAGGGAATAGTATGTAAAGGTGGGAAACTTGTACAGGGTCAGGCCAGAGTGGCTGCAGCAAAGTGTTTGAAGGAGAGTTTGATAGGAGATAAGGTTGGATATATAATCAACACTCAGATTTGGTGACTTTGAATTTAATTTTAAGAGCAATGAGAAGCCATTTGTGAAAGGAGGAATGAAATAATTTACATTTTATGAACATTATTCTGCCTTTTTCCCATAAGAACATTGGAACTTGAAGGCTAAAAAGAATGGGAAGGCT